TATATATATATATATATATAAATTCAGCTTCTTCAAATCCTTTGTCGCCAATACATGGTAGTTCAATGTATGCCTTTGCCATTCGAGTTGCGCCATTTGCTTACGTTTTGTCTTTCACCAGCTGTTTTGTGCCCGTCATTATCTGGTGTTCCTAGATCGGGCAATATTTACCGTTATACTTTCAGCCCCCGTGTTTTACGTTAGCACTTGGGCGTGGTTTACTTGCTCTTGATATGCTGATTTCGATTTGCAGATCCCTGCTTCTGCACCTGTTCGTACACTTTGTAGCTCTCATAATCCGAGTCACTCGAGCTAGGAAACCAATAGCCATTTTTTCCTTAAAAAATTACAAACCTTCTTCTAAGTTAAGTGTTATGTATTCGTATAAAATTATCGATAGCGAACATACAATATTCGAAATCGACCTGTGTACCGTTATTCCATTTAGTTCCAGAGCATTTTGGAAGCATAGCCAGCGCCTCTAGAAATGGCCGAAATAGCACTCTATGCAATTTCTCAACTTGGCATGTCGTATGTTAAACAACTTCTTGCATGATCTCGGCCTATTATCGATACCATGCAACGTTTGAAATCATTTAGATGATAACGTTGCCTTCATATGGCGTTAAACTCTACCAAGTAAATGGATTCGCCTTATCGGCTAAGAAATAGCACCCCGGTATGATGTAGTAGCTGGCTATTTTGTTTACAACACTGTATACGTCTCCATCATGGTCACAACCTTCGGTACGGGCCAAGACAAGCATCATCAATCTCCCAAACGATCACGCAGCAAACACATTCTGTGTGATCTGGTCTTTCCTGCTGCGCATTTTTGAGCGTATCTCGTCTGGACAACGCGCAAGAAAATGGAATCCATCTAAACCTCCAATAGCACCCCCTTTTTTTTTCAGGGGTTCTAATCTTAGAATGCGGTATACACAAATTTCTTGTACCAGTTGTATAACTCGCATCATACGTACGTGTACTGTATTCTGACTTCGCCCAGAGTATATTCCTAGCTTTGCCTGGCTAATTACTTATCCAGTAAAGGAGACTAAGAAAACACCATCTCAGGTAAAAGAAAATCCGAACGACCATCGTGTACATGGTATGCCTGCAATTCTTTAATCATATTCGAAGACAGCGTATATAATATCTATGGTTATCGCTCAGTATAATCTCCGTCAACATTCGTGTACCTCGCGTGTGATCAGGGTTATATACGAGGTTTTCGTCACGATCGTGTTCAACGGCATCTATGAGTACAATAGATGAAACAATTGTAGTCTGAGTGACGAACGTTGCTAGCGCAGCTAACAAAGTGTTGGTTTGAGTGTATAGTCGTCGGCCATACTGTCTGTAGTGGTAGTATCATAGGACTCGAACGGGTGTATTAATGAACACATAGAATCGGCATACACTATACGAGTTGCGGGAGTCCATTTTTCAAAAATATATTATTGATTTTGTATACCTAATGAACTATATCCCAAAAAGGTGCTTTTCTAACAATAAGGGCCATTGTGTTGCGTTGCAGAACAGCGCCTTTATATATTCATGTTATCCGTCGCTAGAACAAAGTTTATCCCATATATGAACGTACTCAACAAACAAAACAGGCGCGCCGCGCATAGCGGCATTTCTGACGGAGTTTAAAAATTCAGACCTCACACTCTTTGCTAACCGTTACTCAATTTTAACTACTCCTTGCGCGCTTCTATTCGTTGTATTCAAACCTTGCTTTTACATCGACAGGTGACGAATATTCAGTTCTTTAGGTGTAGTTATTACATCCACCTGTTTCAATCTCCACAACCAATATAGTTAGAGTACAGTCACTATCGACGAAAGTGAAATATGGAATAAAGCGTGGAATCGGCTTGTTGTAAAATCTTTCAAAGCGTCATAGACTGTCATACGTATCTTGTACATCTGTCTGGGACCGTTGATACAAGTTTTTATGGCGAACACTTCTGACATTTCGATAGAGCGGAGTGGGCGCGGGCCTTCTTCTGTTTTTTTTCTCGGGTTTCCGCCTTTATTATTCCCTGTCTTATCTTCTTTCTCATCTCTGCATGGACATGCCAGATCTATCCCGTGTAGACGCCTCTTCGCGGCCCGTACGTGTTTTTGTGTCGACACTCCGCTGTGACAGCAAAGTCCGGACATTCGTACGCGAAGCTGTTTGAGATTAACGGCTTGTCCTATATCGCGAATCACAGCAACGATAAGGTTGTTGTACACTTGGTCGCGATGTTCTGATAATAGATCTTCTAGATGGATCTGTTCGATTCCGTGGGTAAGATAGGTTGCCCAATTAAGATTGTTGTCGAGCTCTTTGATTACTGGCGCCCTTTGATCTCTATACCACGAGGAATTCTGAGTTGATGCGTCGGCTAGACCGATAGTGTAACGTTGTATGTTGTCTTGACGCCAAATTGCAGTGCAGTTGTCTAGTGTTTTGCTCGTACTCCCTCGGTATACGCCAAAGATGGACACTGGAAGAAGTTCTTAATGTTGCCGGAAGTAGAGACTCCAGGTATTTCTAATCGGACTGGTAAACGAGATTTGCGCCTTTCACCAGACACAGCTTGTCCTCGCGGGTGGCCCCGGCCTGTTTTCGCAGGTAATAGTATGGGACTTGCTAGGCGTGAAGAGCTTGCTGAGCGTCCTGACCTAGGTCCTGCGCGGCGTTGGTCATTGGGATACAATAGTAACGGTTTTGTTAGGAGAGCCAACACTTCACTATTTAATAGAGAAGGAAAATGGGTGATGGGCATTATCCTGTCTATCGTCCTTTTCTAGTCACCTTGAGTTGGCTATGAAAAGAACGACAGATATTTTACAAAATCGAAGAGTCACTGATTTAATCTGTGACTTGCGATTTTGTGTTAAAAAAATCTGATTTACTCCCAGGTCCATAATAATATATGAATGCAAACATTCGTATATATGTATAGAGACATAGCGAAACCGAATTACAGACATACAGACAAACCATATGTATGTATGTATGTATGTATGTATGTATTTCTTAGGTAGTTCCAGCTTCGGATGGGTAGACAAAACGATGGGAATGTCGGGGTGCACCGAAACAATTACATGTCACGGATTTGATGAGGATTGTGTGACTATCCGGGATAGTAAAGCTAAAGTATTTAGTAAAAGTGTGCTATTTTAACGAGTACAAAAAATTGACAAAAAAATACTAAAATGCATGTTTTTAATTTGAAAAAGAAGAAAAATATAAAATAACGTTTCTAGTTCAAAATGGACAGGGCTGTTATAGTCTCCTAATGGCCTGCACAGTGCAATTTAACCGCAAAGCGTTCTGCGTTTGCGTTGCACCTGTGTAGGGTCTGATTATTAACCTACATCCAGTGATGCAATCGTCGCGGAGGTCTATTACTGGTTGCGATGGTTGCCCACTCGCTTGTGATGGTCGGGCACGATCCCAACTCGTTACATACCCTACGAGTACCTAGCAGGCTTGCGCTTCATTTCCTGTCGAACAAAACAATATATATTCAATAGCTTGTTGAAAATTTCAAATTGAAACTTTAAATATAATTAAACCTAGTATCGATGTCGTAAGAATAACTCAACTGTAACGACATACCCTTTATTCTCATTAGCGATGCCATATCCAGGCGGTGCTCCCCCACTGCTACCAGCCCCCGCCTGCGTTTGGTCATACGACATAGGCTGATAAAAATACATTGAAAGTATGTAAAAAAAGTATAAAAAAAGTAAGGAGTGCTGAATTTAAAATCGCCAAGTTTCAGATTCAGTTATGAACATCTCGCTCTAAAATAAATAACAATACATTGCCGATCTATGTAAATACCGGAGCGTAGCCCTGAGGAGAAGGACCATTCGCTTGTGGTGGATAGCCGTACTGTTGCGGAGGATAACTCTGCTGTGGGGGGGGACCTTGTTGCTGTGGCGGGTAACCCTGTTGTTGTGGAGGGTAGCCCTGTTGTTGTGGAGGGTAGCCCTGTTGTTGTGGAGGATAGCCCTGTTGCTGTGGTGGGTAGCCCTGTTGTTGTGGGGGGTAGCCTTGTGGACCCCCTTGCTGTGCATATACAGGCGGTGCATGGCCTTGATTGGATGTCATCAGAAGGGAACGCGTAGGATGAGCACATATCAAAATATAAATAGGCTATTATAATAGCCAAATATAAGCTCGTGCCGGAAAACATGTAAAAATATAGAAATTGTATACATACATATGTATTTCAAAGACACGACATATATCTGTACAATGATTTTACGTAAATATGATCATATATGTACACATAGATTAATATTTGCGTGTATAATAT